GTAGGAAAATCATCTCTGATATGAATTATCATTAAAAACCTCAAAATTATAAACACCAGGGTCACAAACTGACTGGTGAACCACATGCCTCATTTGGACCGAAGTATGCAAAGTAAACAGTGCGGAACGGTGTTACACATACGTTACTAAAACAAAAAAAGTTAAAGATTTGCCAAAGTAAAGAGACCTTTTCCTTGCTTGCTTCATTTATATTAAAATGGTGAAAAGCAGCATTTTTCTTCTGCATAGCAAAGTTTCAAAGCTGTATTAGGTCAATGGCCAGTTGTAAACTTTTGGAAGAACTGTAACATGTTGTTCAGCATTAGGAACCACTCTGAGATTCTACTGTGTTCCTGGCTCTCAGCACTGCTGGGAAATTACAAAAGTCTCTGTGCCAGACCTTTTATGATTAACCTAAATGTGGTGCAACACTCGGACAGCTTTCAAAAGGCAATGTTGTCATTTTTAGATGGCATCTGAACAGATTCTGCCTCAGAAAAACCACCTACACAATTGGCACCTTTCTTGGCAGCGTGAGCAGTGAGGAACATCAGGGAGACAGAAATACCCACTTGGCTCTGCTGGACCTTCCAGAACGGGGACGGTGGGGTTTGAGGAGCAAGCTTATGCAAGACTCAGGCTGGAGGTAGCCCGAGGGTTCCCTTTTTAGGGTGATGAAATTTGGCATCTTGAACAAACTGATTTTCAGTGAATATTTCATGCAGGTTTCATGAGCAAGCAAAGGGGACTTTTTATTGGACTTTCCCTAGCCAAGGCAGCATAGACTAAACATTTCAGCTGCAATTGTTCATACTTCAATATCCCCCTGGTGTTTTAACTGGGCGGTGGGGGGAGGGGGAGAAACAATCTGAAATACGTTGTGCTGTTCTTCCCATCTTGCAAGAGCCCAAAGTTGTGAGGTACTGCACAGCACAGAGGGAGAGGTTATAAATCCCTTGGGACAGGGACCCTCTAACAATAGACACGGATGTGACAAAGGCAGGTGGGGAAAAAGGAGGGACTGAGTCAGGGAGAGTGAATGACAAAATCATGATGATTTTGGCTGGGTGAGAGCACATGGAGCATCAAGGGGAAATTTTCAAAGGCACAGATGGAAGTTGGATATCTGATTTTCATTAGATTTCACTTTGCACATCTCCCTGTAACTTGCTCCAGGACAGTTTGGTTCTACTGTAGAAAGATTTCTAGCTAGAGCAGAGTTCATAATCTCAGAATTATCTATACCTCTGTACCCTGCTTTTCTTCCACCCACTCCTAGAGGGCTCTACTCTAATCTGAAAATCCAATACACAGAGACATAGGACAGACCACAGTCTCCACTTGCTGAATGTCAGCGTGATCTGTGTGTGCTTGGAGAGGTCACAGGGAGATTGCTCAAATCAGGGCAAACTGCAAAGAGTGGGGCAGAGGATTCACCACCCCAGCAACAAAACAGCTTGTACAATACCTTGCTGATTACCCAGAAGACACAAACATAGTTCCTTTAAAGCAACTCAGCATTGAACTTCCTCGTATTTGACTTGCTCTCTGGATGGATCACTGAAAGTTGTTGTAAGTAAGCCTATATAAAGTTCACCAATACCAAGGGATTGGTCATAGGATCCAGCCATCCAATAAATACTTCAGCTCACACCCACATATGTGCTTTACAGCTAATTCTTTTTAACTAATCTAAGTTTTATTTTAAAAGAAAAGGATACTGTCATTAACGACACACCACTACGAATAAAGTTCGGAGGTCAGTTTCATAGTAGAGACCGTGAGCTGCAAAAAGTTATTTAAACTGATTTTGGATAGTCCAAATAGGCAGTCCATATACAGTCTGTGTAAATCCTTCTATGAGCTATAGCAGGGTAATCCAGGCTATATCTAGACTACAGAGTTTTTCCGGGATACTAAAGGTATCCTGGAAAAACTCTGCCATGTAGGGAATGTGTCTGCTTCTTCAGAACAGAGGTGAGAGGAATAAGGGATGTGCCAAAATAGGAGTATTTTTCCAAAATTGGGTCCCATGTACTCGGACCAAATTTCAGAAAAGCCTCTCCCCCCCCCCCCCCAAAAAGGCGGAAAAAGATCTGCAGTCTAGACATAGCCCCAGACTGGTACTGGAGGCCTCGGGAATGTGATTTACTTTTTCTGTATGTTTAAATATGTGGACTCCAGCTTCACATGATTGTGTCTAGTTAACCATGGTCACCCTCATTTTAGTAGATATTTATCTTTTTATGAAAAGCTGTTTGGCCAGCACATACAATTTTTTAGGTTTAAAATGTTAAGAAAACATCCAAGCAAATGAGCAAATGTCCAGGGAAGAGAGAGGCTCCTAAATCAGAAGGGATTTGGAAAGTTCTCCAAAGAAGACAAGTTCTAAATATTAATGTTTTTTATCTGCACCTCTCCCAAGTTAAGTTGCTGCTTCAGTAAACCAGTGTTGAGAACATTCATGGGGATGAAGAACTGTTGCTATTTCCATTAAAGGAGCTTTGTAAAATTCTTGCCTGCTCCCAGTAATTTCTTTGACACACAGATTAAAAATACTAGTTCTCGTTATCTTTCATCGTGGTAAAGACAGGGGACCAGATTTTGTAATTGCACGGCCAGAGCGGTGATAGTCTTGTCCATGGTCGCACAGGAGGCTAATGGCAGGTCTTCAGTCCCAGTCCAGTGCCTTCTCCACTGGACTGGACTGCCTTTATGTTCCCAGGACCTTACGCAGGAATTTTGGGGGGTGCGTGTATGTACATGCTTTTTTGTAAATGTGGACCGCAATTTTTTTAATGATAAAGGAGTTCCAAATAGTCCTGCACTGAGAGTGTATGAGAGGTTAATTAAAAATTTGAGTGGAAACAGTGATTGGTAAAATGATTTTGTGTTAACATACTAAAAATGTGTAGTCACAAAGGGTTTATAGAAATTACACTATTACAGACAGACACCAGAAGGTAAGTGGAAAAACAATATTCCCAAATAGTCCAGTCTTTGTTGCAGTGAAATTAGTGACAAGCCATGTTGTATGCATGATTAACTATTTTATCTTGGTGACATTAGTTGTCAATTTAGGGTAGTGTGCCATGTCTCAATGGCAGTGTTTAGCACCGATTGGAGCTCTGCGGTGGGATGCTCAGAGAGGCTGTTCTGTAAGCTCGTTGCTATTCATTTCTTTTGTTTGCAAACAGCTAATTGGAAACTACTAACCCATTTAATCTATTTCCTCAACACTGGGCCCTGTCCGCACTGCCTGACAGAGCTGATAGGGTGCAAGATATTCTTTCACCTAATAAGGAAGAGAACTTTCCTATACGTGTTTCTTGTGAAAGACAGACCATTTAAAATACAACTCTTAGACGCATGAGATGAGGTTTATGTGGTGTGTCCACTGATGTGTGCAAGATGGAAATATACACTAGGCATGTCTGAGGTTCACATGTCTACCGGGAAGAGAGTTTAGACCACAAGAGTGCATGACTGAACAAACCTCAGATCACAACATTTTGGCCATTTGATTTTGACGCCAGCTACGGAATTAGACCATGAAACTCGATAGCTCAATGCTGGCTTTATCCCCATCAGTATTTTTAAATGAATATTATGCAGCATTTCATAGTGAGAGAAATTCTGAAGATCATCAAGATGTTGTAAAAAATATCAGGGAAAAACGTATAGCTTTCCCTCATTAAAATGAGGTTACAAAGCTACTTTAAAATAATTTGCTGCAGTAAAGTTAGTATTACTTCTCAAGTGTGAAAAGACTTCTACGATACAAGGGTGGGCCCTGCAAAAGTTTGGAGCGTAGCAGAGCTTGTTTTCTTGTGACCAAATTAAAATACACACTTGCATGCCCTTGTGAAACATACTCAAACTGACTAGAAGAAAATGAAAAACTTGAATTAATTTTAGTTTACTCAAACATTTTGATTTAAAAAAAAAGAACACACTTAGATTTATTAGGTTCAAATCAACCTTTTCTTCTCCCTTCGGGTTTGGGGGGGGGCAAACAGGTTTGGGAGGGAGGGGAGACTGGGGGAAGCACATGGCTCAGCTGGACTGGGAACTAGCATGAAGCTAAGCTGGAGCAGCTTGGAGGACTGTGTAAGAAGTGCATTTGCACCTGTCCCTCCCCCCACGCACAGGCCTGATTCCTATTCTGCAACACTGAAATAATGTTAATTTAGCTGTTGACTTCCACAGTGAAGTGTGAAAGAAACTGCATTTCTATTGACCTGCTGGGACACGGGGCTGTGCCCTGACTTCACTATGAGCCAACGATGCTCAGCACCTCCCATTGTATTGGGACCAGGGTGAAACAAAACCTGAACTTATGCACATGGTTTATGTAGCATATTTTCATTCAGTTGTTATCTTCAGTAATGGAAAAGGTCTCTAGGGTTTGCGTTGAGTTTTTAAACAAAAGGACAAAATGAAGTTATAATGCAACAAGAAATAATTAAGCTCTTCTGAATTAGTGAAGGAACAAAATTATTAGCTCCTAATCGGTGGCACAAGTAAGGGCAGGTTTGGAAATGTTATGAGATCTTCTATTAAAAAGTACTATCCAAGTACAGCTATTGCAAACTTGTGAGTGGACTGATCTGAAAATGCACCAGTCACCCCACGATGAGATTAAAAAGACTACCATGTTATTTTCAGTTTCCTTTAGTCAGTAGCAGTAGGCTCTTAAGTCTGTAATACTTCAGTTTTTAATATAACCTCTCTGAGTGCTAAAAGCTGCATAACCAAAACCACCCACAACAGTACTAATAGGCTCTTAAGTCTGTAATACTTCACTTTTTAATACAACCTCTCTGAGTGCTAAAAGCTGTATAACCAAAACCACCCACAACAGTACTAAACAAAACCTATTAAGCACACACCAAGGCTACTGTAGACCCTGATACAGAGAAAGGGAGCAGAGAATACTCAGTAAACAACTGTCAATGTGGAAAAACAAAACAACACAAGGCTACAAAAAAGATCTTTTTCTTTATTTCACTTGTTAGCAAGATTTTGCTGTCATTCTCAAGTAATTTCTGAACAGGAACAGAAGCAGTGAAAAATCAAAAGTACTTGAAACTTTAATACAGGAAAAATTAATCCTCCGCACAACAAAAGGGCTAACTTTATCTATTCTCAGGTTTATTTTAAACTAGATGTTACATTAAAACAACATGTGAGATTCATGTTTCACCACAACTGTAAATTACGACAAGTACAAAGTTGAAATAAATTGCAGTTGAAGACATGTAGCTCCTTATTAAAAATTCACAAGCCATTAATGTTGATTTAGCACGCTGCACATAAATGGATGTTACATAGATGCATGGAGTATTTTGTAGATTTGCAGTAAACCTTAGTATCTCCTGAACATCTGAGTGGGAACACATTTCAGTATAATTACTCAAGTCTGTAACACTTACACTTTTTTAAATTGAAGCTACATTTACTTTTAATTGATAGAAAGCTCAATTTGGTCATGCAGCAGCTGCTTTATGGGTTTAACTTGTTGGGGGAGGGGTTAGCATTCTCTCATTATAAAACAGAGTATGGACACAATTCATTTTCAAATAGCAATTTTCTCCTAGAGTACTCCAATTACTCCACAACTAGACCCATTTAATTTCAAAATACTCATTATAAGGGTATCAGAATACTAGCTGGCCTTAATTTTTTTCTTTCAATATATATTAGTAATAGCAACAACATACTCCCAAACTAGTGTTTCCTCTAAGTTGTGCACCTGTGCTGACACTCAAGAGAGATTCAAATGCTGCCAAGCTGATTAGAGGAGTACCTGGAGCTAGGATTTTGTTTCTGCTGTTGGTGCACATCTGCACCTGCCTCAGACCACAAAAAAATTATTCCACTCATGGATAGAAAACTTTAGAGGGAACATTGTCCAAAACATCTATTATACCAGATTTCTAGGATGGTTAAATGGTTTTGGCCTGTACCTGGAGGCTTGAAAAGGTCCTTGTGTGTCCTTTCTGACATACAAATTTTGGTGAGCGTTCTAGACTGTGCTGAAGGTAATAAAGAAATCAAGGAAGGCCTGAGCATCTCACTTTCTGTTTCAAACAAACTCACTCCAGTTATTAACATAGGCAGTGCAGCAGATGTGCAGATATCAATATTGTACTGCCACTGATTGTAACAGAAGATTCTGGGTCCTCCCTCCTGTCTTCCAGGCAACCAGGGGGAGAATGCATTACAGAAGAGAGACACTTTCAATCTCTAGGAAAGATGATGCAATCCCCCCGCCTGCTGTATCCATAGTTGTCTCATATCCTTTGGCCAGTGCAGCTGGAGGTACATGGACTGTGTTGTGGAGATAAGAACTGGCAAGGGAGAAAGGGGGGAAAAAGTAGGTAGGTAAATATTAATAAGAATTCAAGGACAGAAGGAGGACTGGTTTCCACAGAAGACAGAAGGCACTATATAAATGCTAAACTCTCCTACTACTGTATAGTATAGGAAGAAGATTCCTCAGGGCAGGTTTACACTATTGGGTTAAATTGATCTAAAGTTAGGGTACTCTAGTTATGTGAATAATGTAGCTGGAGTCAATATAGCTTAAATTGACTTTCTGGTGTCTACACTGCAGGGAGGTCGATGGGAAAAACTCTACCAGTAGACTTACCTTACTCTGCTCATTCCAGTGGAATACTAGAGTTGATGGGATAGTGATCTGTCGATTTAGTGAGTCTCCACTAGACCCACTAGTGACCAAATGGACCTAGATCCAGCACTGCAGTGTTGATCTCCCAGCAATGGAGAGAATCGCTAAGAATGGTAGAGTCCTTTGAAGAGCACAGTCCTGGTTTTTGTTCTTGAGCTCTATCGGTATAAAACAGCTTACAACAGTGTTACAGTTTTGCCATTAAGCGTGTGTGTGTGTCTACAGGCATTGGCATACAGCAGGAAGCACAATGTCAGGAGTCAGTAACAGATGGAGAAGAGGGTGAGACAGGAAATTCTAATAAGCAACAACTTTGGGCTAATGAATATCTTAGACACCTCCAAGTGCCAGCCCTCTTCCCGTGCCTGAGTTCTGAAGGCACTTACACTGGTGAGCTGTTATTCAGCTGGACTATTCCAGTGAAGTCAATCAGCTAGCCCTCTTCCCGCACCTGAGTTCTGAAGGCACTTACATTGGTGAGCTGTTATTCATCTGGACTATTCCAGTGAAGTCAATCAGCAGTTTTTAGCATGAATTCAAAATGTGGTCTACTGTGATTAGGTGACGCTGACACCCAAACCATTTGGCACTTAAATGATGCTGGCCTATATTAAAATGGGGGTGATCTCTAGTGTTGGAAGTCACAGAAATAATAACCCAACTGTTGGGATTCCCTCCAACACCACTTCCGGACCAGCATGACCAGTTCTGGGAGAACACATCATCCAGTTTGACACTGGATTTCATCGCTCATCCAGTTCTGGCAGAACACATCCAGTTTGACACTGGATTTCATCGCTCAGGTTTCTATATTTGACACGTTGCTCAGCATAGATTTGGTCAGACTCTATCCTAGGAGATGGACCACACAACTTAGTTTACAAAAACTCTTCCATTAGATACGTTTACACAATGCTTTATACCACACATTTTCGACTGGCTTCCAGGAATTAATCTCTATACAGCATGCTCTGTCCATGTTCGCATGGAACCGGATCTTTACATGCCATATTGATCTTGTCCATAATGCTCAGCATCCAGCTTTTGCTGCTTATTTCTGCTAGCAGAGACAACCTGACTCCAGCATACTGTTTGTCAAGCCCAGCCCTTATTTACAATAAATTTCCATGCACCTTCTCCATTATGCCCACTAAGAAATGAGGCAAGTTACTCACACCAAGTCTATACCAACATCAAACGAAGGCTAGAGATAGAAAAAATACAAGGGTTACAGCTATGGCAGATTTTCTCATCCTCAAGGTGACTGCCCAGTCCCTGTGGAGAGGAAGGACCAACTATTCAACTGCAATTGTTGAAAGCTTTTTAATGTGCCCAGTCCCAGGCCTTGATTTTGTCTCCAGAGATGGGCAATATCGACAATACGTTTACACAATTCTTTATACCACACATTTTCAACTGGCTTGCAGGAATTAATCTCTATACAGCATGCTCTGTCCATGTTCGCATGGAACCGGATCTTTACATGCCATATTGATCTTGTCCATAATGCTCAGCATCCAGCTTTTGCTGCTTATTTCTGCTAGCAGAGACAACCTGACTCCAGCATACTGTTTGTCAAGCCCAGCCCTTATTTACAATAAATTTCCATGCACCTTCTCCATTATGCCCACTAAGAAATGAGGCAAGTTACTCACACCAAGTCTATACCAACATCAAACGAAGGCTAGAGATAGAAAAAATACAAGGGTTACAGCTATGGCAGATTTTCTCATCCTCAAGGTGACTGCCCAGTCCCTGTGGAGAGGAAGGACCAACTATTCAACTGCAATTGTTGAAAGCTTTTTAATGTGCCCAGTCCCAGGCCTTGATTTTGTCTCCAGAGATGGGCAATATAGTAGACTGATACTTACAAAAACATAGGGACACTCATTACCCATGAACCTGGGGATTGTTTTACCCATAGATGGAGAGGGTACCCAGGCCAGAGGAGAAATGGGGTTTCCACTCTTAGGCCAGGTCTATATTAGATCCAGAAAGTTAGCTTAAAATACACAACTCCAGCTATATAAATAACAGAGCTAGAGTTGACATATCTTAAGCTGAGTGTGGTGATATCTTAGGAGCAGGAGGTCTCCTGATGGCGCTCTCACTCCTCGCGAATTGACAAGTACCCTCAGGGTTTGATTTAGCAGGTCCTTACTAGACCCACTAAATCAAACATCAGAAGAGTGATCTCTGACATAGCAAGTGGAGATATGTCCTCAGACATTCCTTTGGGAACAGGTCAGCTTCAATTTCTGTCAGGGGCTCCATAAAATCCCCACGAAAACAGGCTGCTCAGGGAATATCAGGAAATTCTCCATCTCACTTGATCTACTTTGGTCCCCTGCCCCTAACAGAGAGACAATTGCTGACTCCTTGTTTTGCCACAACAGGCTTTGCGTGGGATTTTTCCACTGCAAGTGGCTCCGCTGTCAGGAGGCAGCACAGGCCCTGGAATAAATCTAGCCCAATTGACCTGGAAGGTTGGTTTAGGCCCAATACCCTTTTCCAAACATGTTTAAGAACCTGCTGTGCTCTGTGAAATTCATCACTGTGCTTTGCTGCCACGGGAGCGTGGCTATCGCTTTCCGCATGAAATGCTGCCAAGAGCACAGAAAGGCTTTGGAACCTTCGCTGTGGAATTTAGATCAAATTCAAACGTAGCCAACCCCAAATAATCCTTTTCCCTTCTGCTCCCCCTTGCTTTAGGAAATGAACTCTCTCTCTCTCATGCTGCTCTATTTCTGAATGCCCAATAAGCAGCTTAATTGATCAGATCACTGTATCTTATCACGGAGAAATCACTGGCAACTGACCTCTTATGGAATACTAAAGTAAGAAGAATGCCCAACCTTTCCTCTCTCTGCAATTTGTCATGGACATATTTAAAGCTATGATTTTTTTTTTAAAAGGAACATTTACCAGTAACCACACACCACCCTTGGCAAGGATTACAGAAAAAAATCATTTGCTTTGTCTTGGAAGAAGAGTAGTTTTAAAGCTACTGTTCCTGCATGAAGGACCATCTCCCAAGCAACAACTTCAATAATGATACCAAGATTTTGTTCAGCATTTCATTAAAGGCTCATCCCTACTAGGCAACTGAGTTTTACTACTCCTTTGGATGATTCCTTAAAACAAAATTAGAAAGCTTTTAATGTGTCGCAGGTATGAAAAGGACAGCAGCGTTTCCAATAAGCATGGTTACTTCGTTCTCAGAACAGCATTATATCACGTCATTTATCTAGCTACCATTAAACTGTGAAACCCCTCTGATCTGAATCTCTCTAATGAGAACTCCTTTCCCATTCCCTACTCTAGTTAGATGAACTCCCACTTTTGCTGATGTTTTGGCTGCGATGTTATCGGATTAAAATAGGATCACATGAATCACTGTTGCAACCACTGTTCTATATTTGCAACAAATCTTGTACAAGATATGGCATGTAAAGCATCTATGGGAAGATTATGATTTGTTGGCTATAATCATGCTGCTTGCATGCGTTATCATTGTTGTGTTTGAAGTTATGAGCTTTCTGTAAATATTTATATTTTAATGTATTTGACTATGAGTAGCATCAGTGAAGCAACTGGCCAGCATATGGGAGAAGGAACTATTCAAGTTGAATGGCTCATCAAAAGGGCACTACACTCAAACGCCCATCTACACTGAACAGACTTTCCTGCAAACATTCAAACTGGAATGTGCATAATAGCTTCTGCTGTAAATAGGTAAAACTATACATGGACTTGTGACTTGTCCAGATGGCTCCAAACTCCATCTTTGTTATGGTGCTTTTCCATATTAAGAACAATGGGATTCCCTCCCCATGGTAGTAGGTATAAAAGGCCCTAGAAACACCTCCATCTCACCTTTTCTACTCCAGCTTCTCAACTGCTTATGCTTCTGGATGTCTTATATTAATGGGAGCATTCTAACCAAGGGACTGGGTTCTTCCAATGATTTGGAAGTAACCAGAGAGTTGACATGAGCCACCAGTTTATTCTACTTTTGCTATGAGCTGGAAGCAAGTACTGTGAAATTGTTCCATGTATGTGATTCCTTTAACCCAACTTTTATTTATTTGTTTTCTATTTATATTCATTTTTGGATACTAAAGGATTGGCAACAGAGTCATTTCTGGCTAAGATCTGATTTGTGTATTGATCTGGGTGTGGGGCTGGTCCTTTGGAATCAGAATACAGAGGGACTGGAGTATGTGAGGAAACTGCTTTTCTGACTTCTTGTTAGCCATCGTGGTGACACAGACATTCTCTTTTTGGTGGGTTTGGAGTACCTTAGAAGTGAGGGACACCCTTCTTAGGCTGTGACTGACTTTTACTCAGCAGTTCATCCTGAATTGGATACTCTCAGTTGTGTACACTCCCCTCCAAACTTTGAGGATAAATGGGCTTGTACTTTATCATTTAGTCAGTTCAATGAATGGATCCCTTGCACAGCAAAGGTGTGGGTGAAACTTCTAATGTAGAGCCTAACTACCTGATAGGCCTTTATCAAACAGCCTCTCTCAGCCAGCCTCCTTTAACAAAACGTGTAAACGTTTCTCCCCAAGAGAGCCACATAATTAAAGTTAATAGTTAATGTAACATACCGTGCTGCGGAGAAGGACAAGAGGAGTATAAAGCAGACCGCAGCGACTGACCCTAATCCGGCAAGAGTCACATGTTGCAGAGAGGGTGATAAATCTGAAAGGAAAAACATCAAACAATTCAAGGAAACGAATTCCAGAGTGTGCTGTGTGGTGCAGCTCAGTCTTGTGATTCACTTCCTAAATCTGATCAAAGTTAAACTCTCACTATGGATTTACTGCTCCATCAGGCTGTAATTAAGCTTAACAGCCACTGGTCAGCAGCCATCTAAAGAAATGAGATTACTGGCATATTTCTCAAAAGAGATTGCATTTTCCTGTCTACCACTGTCCTTCCCCTGCTGTGTGGGTTTTTTTTTTTTGGGTGGGTTTTTTAACTTTTGATGGTCAAAGTTAATCAAGATCCTTCTTCTCTATCATCATCTGTTTTAGTCAACAACATGGGACAAGGGTGTCTCCAGAACTACAAATTGATTCTGCTGTTTCCAGTCATCAAATGGCTACTCCTCTCTTGCAGATTCCTGCAATGTGGGTACCATTTCCTTTTTATAGGATGGTAACCACATCCATATGAACACCACAGAATCACCGCTGGGTTCTGCACCACTCAGGTATGGCCTCACTCCCCAACTGGAACAAAGCTGTGTGAGCAGAGGTGTGACCTCATTTGTGGTGGCTGAGCCAACCCCTCAAATGTGGCCTCTCAGGACTCCTGTCATCCTGACAGCTGGGCCCATCCTGAGTGGCGCTGGGGCCCCACCGTTTGCATTGGCTGGAGTGGGAAGGCAAGGCTGGCCAGCCAGTCAAGTGGGACAGGAGCAGCCCTGCAACCCTCCGGAACTTTCTGGCAACTCAGTTTTGAGTCCCAGCTCACAGCTGAAAAAACCTGATCTAACCTTCATAATGCACCCCTAGACTTCACTGCTAGCACTGTGAGCTTATGGCAAGATATAGACAGGCAATGCAGCAAGAGCATCTCTTTTCCCAGTGCATGAAAAACTGCCTTACCTTCAATTTGTGCCCAAACGGCACAGGACTGTGTCCTCACCTGATAAGGAATACAGAAGCCGTGTCACTATTTTCCCATGAAATGTATTCAGTCAGCAAATGTACACCATCAAACAAAGGCATTCAGTAAAGAAACTTTTACATTTATTACAATAGAAGTAGATTCCTGTACTTTTGCTACATTACCAAGCTCTCCTGAGACAACTACGGGCTATAAAGGATAAGATTAATGAGAAAGCTTTGATGAAAATTAGCCCTCGTCCAGTCTTTTCTATACAAAAGAGATCTAAAATCCCTATATGAGGAGGATGATACAGTTGCATAGTTCAGTGCTTAAAATGTTAAAAATTATCAATGTTAAAAGACCGCACATGCAGTCCTAACTCAGCCCCCTCTTCATGTGTACAGATTCCTATACAGTGTTTAATATAGACAGTCATTCTGGGTGTCTAACAATGTACCCTCTAATTTTTTCCATTCAAGCCCGGAATAAATTTTGTTATATGCACCCAGACGTGTGGATGTGCGCTACCAGTACAAACACATGCTGCCAGCTTTGGGGGCTTTGTTAATCAACTGGGTGGCATTTGAATTTCTCCTCGGTAGCTGCCAAAGCTTACAGAGAACACTGTTTTTAAAAATTATAAGATGTTTGAGACCATTTTAATATAGTACTTACACTAGTTTTTTGCATAATGATCCAAAATATCTTTACTGACAGATTCTATACATTCTTGTTTAATCAGTTTTCATCTATTTTTGATGTTTTGTTTTCTGAATCTCACCCTCAAACATATGTATCTGCATCAGCAAATGTTAAGTACTTAGTCCATTGTATACAATTAACATGAAGTATGTTATATTGATATGGTTTATGTATGTAAATACCAGTCTATGTATTTTATTGAAGGTTTTAGACAGGTATACTATTGCAGTGTTATGTTATCATGTAATTAAAAACTAAGTCATGATGCATTCACACAAAGACAACTTCTGTGTTGGGTTTTATTTTGAGCTCCTATATAATCTCAATGATATTTAATATAGTCTTTGCTTATGGGATTTTCTAGCTATTTAAAATGATAAAAGAGTAAAGACTGAACAAAAACAGACCTGCAGTGGTTGTCATGTACAATGCTACAGGGGTTGGCTTTCCAAAATTGCAGGGGACTATTTAAAGGTGATTTGCAAAAGGAAAAGAATAGGATTGTGTTCTTTTTGGTTGCTTTATGATATATAAAGAAGGCTTGAAAGTTCTGTTCTGTGAAACTTCAAGTCCTGTATTATGTGAAATATCTCTGGGATGATCTACACCAGAAAAATTAATGCATTCCTGACAACAGATGTCAGGAATTACTCAACTTTCCCATTGTTGTTGAAAGTTGAGTAACTTAGGAAAGGAGCAATTGTTAGCCACATTATTTAAAATTCTTTGGCTTGTTTTTTGCTAATAATTAATATAAAACGAGCACTGTACACTTCGATTTTGATTACAATACAGAATGTGGTGTATCTGAAAATGTAGAAAACCATCCAAAATATGTATAATACATTTCAACTAGTATTTTAACAGTGTGATTTAAACTCTGGTGAACCACGATTATTTTTTTTAAATCTTGTGATTAATTTTTTAAATAACTGGGCAGCCCTATTTAACTTCAATAACTAGTAAATAAGAGCTTCCTTCTGTTCAAATGTTGAAAACTCAACCATCAGGCACCTCAGAGGTGCTGAAACAATTTGTACAGTAGAGGTGCGGAGAGCCATATAACCCTGTATATAATGGAAACTACTTCAAGTCAGGGGATGTGGAAGAATTCGCTGGCACCGCTATTCCATCACCGATGCAGCCTCTTCAATGAAGGAATAATGTCACCCTCACAACAAGTCCTCCAGCAAAACCGGGGGTGGGGGCCCACAGCTGACATCCCTACTATTTATAAGACTAACATGCAAATGAGGAGAGTGGTCATCTCTCAATGTCATATGGAAGAACAAAATATGTTTGTGTAAAAGCACCTGACTCAAAAGAGAATCAGAGAGCTTGTCTACAATGGCAAATTCCTGCCTCGTAACTTTCTCTCTTAGGAGTGTGACTCCCCCTCCCCCAAGCGCAAGTTGCAGTGCTGCACAGCGCCAGTGTGAACAGGTTCCTAGCACTGGGAGCTATGCCCCTCGTGGAAGTGGCTTACACAGAGAGCTGGGAGAATGCTCTGCCAGCGCTGGCGCCGTGAGCACACTGTCATACCAGCACTTAATCTGGGAGGTGTAGACAAAGCCATACATATGTTGGTGTTGAGTGTCTTTCAGGTACTAAGACTTCATATGGCTAAATTACGGCCTCTGTAAATTACAAGCACTTACCACACGGAGGCCCTTTATCCCACCATCCCCAGGGCCGCCTAGCTATCCCTCGTCCCGACCCCACTGGACCCGTCCCGCACCTAGGAAGGACAGGGTCATAATTGCTTATGAATCAGTGCAGTCATCCCTGAAGTCAGAAGTTGGTACTAAATCCCTAACCCTTTCCTTTGTTTTTATTTCAGTATCCAAAATCACTCCTGCATTGCAATGGTGAAGAGATCTGCAAGCAATTAAATCAGCTACTTCAGGACATTTCAATTTAAATTCTATACCATCAACTTCTTGTCCCTGACAAGATAATCAAAACAGAACAAAAAGCTAACCCCTCTCCCCCCCCAAAGTTTTCCAAATAAAACTTGTTTCATCCAACAAAGCCTCAGGGAAAATTTTTTTAACACCCATTACCTTATTCCATTGGCTTATAATTCTCAGTATCACATAGTAATTCTTCCCTGGCTTCAAGGGAGCATTATAGAACACTCCATAGTAATGTCTGTCTCCCAGAGAGATCAGCATGTTGTCAGCAACATCCTTGGCCAGAAATTCAGCAGCCACATATCCCTTCATGTCAGTGTCATTGCCAAAGAAAGTCATAGCAGCCAGGGAATCACAAGAAAATGCGCTTTGAAACAGCCAGGGAAGCACAATCACTTGATAAGAACTAGAATGAAGCAGAAAAGCAACCATCAGAATTCACTTCAGAATTTCACTGACCACCACAGGGAAAATCATATTTGCATTTAATTCTTTATATAGTTTGGCCATTTACTTAATAATTTCAAATCACTAACAGGTCAGGTGACCCCTTTCTGTGTGGGGGTGAAATATTTTCCTTTATATTTATTGCCCTCTATATAAAACAGACTATATGTGCCTATTATAAGGCTGATTTTCCAAATTACACACAGATTTAACATGATAGGGCATGCAAATTTAGTATTTTCATGAGAGACTCCTCAATTATGAATCACTACAAGCTGCATATTTGCTCAGTTCATCCAGCACACAACTTTCTCCTTATAGCCAAAGCAGAGTTGAAACACATTATCAGCCTGTAAAATCCTATTTGACCCTGATTTCCCAGAAAGATACTGGCTCCAGAATCAAGAAAGTGATGACATCTCCCAACCATTGGGCTTTAATTAGAAACTTGCCTTTTGAGTTCACTAAACAAACTTCAGAGTGTGATGTCCTCCTACCAAAAAAGGCAACTCTCAGAGTATATGATCTGCACTCTTGTTACATTATCCTTTGGCTCCTGCACTGTTTTAACTTCCAAATATTTCCTGCTGTAGTAAGACGTAAGTTACGGTAACTTGTCTCTTGTGTTGCCAGGCACTTAATAGCCATATGTCAGCAGAGCTAAAATTCACTTCAAGGAGTTTTTATCATTTGGGTACCTAAATATAAATATGTATACCTCATAGATGATTTAAACAAAATACTTCATGTAGGCTATCAATTTTACATGCACCAAAATAGGAGACACAGATCCAGCAGATTGTATCATTCTTGTATGTAAAGTTAGAAATATGAAGTATGAGACTGTTTATAGTTTTAAATGTGCTAATGAGGGCCATTGTTAGTGCTCCTAACCTCCAGAAGCTTTAACAACTGGATGATCTAATCAGCCTTGTTTGTCCTGTAAGTCCAGAGGTGATTGGACTAGTAAGACATGTGACCATACCACCTGGTACTGGAATTCCATTTTGACCAGGTAATTTTTCCATGGAAGGGAGAATGTAGAACAAAAGATTCCCACCCTGGGGAAAAGACTATTTAAGCCAGGGGAAGTGACACACTTCCTTTGTCACACTCCAAAGAGGGCTGGGGACCCGGGTCAAAATAAAAGAGGTAGTGTCTGACCTGAAGATTATGCCTCGAACAAGAACCTCATTAGAGTAAGAATCTGCTTGCAATAAGTTTTTAGTGATTTAGAACTAGCTATGTGTTTTCTTTTCATTTTAACTTAGTCACGTATTTTGATCACTGTTTTCACTTGCAACCACTTTTAAATCCTACATTTTGCACTTGAGAATACTTTTGTTCACTATCAGGCTCGGTGTAAGTAATTGTTACGGGGGAGAGGAGAAATGTGCATCTTTCTTTTTCACTGATAAAGAGGGCGAACATCCTCATCAGTTTCTATGTGTAAAACTCTTACACAGAGAAAGACGGATTTATCTGGGGTTTTGATCCCTTTTGGAGGGTGGGTTTCCTGGGTGCTGTGCCCTAGAACTGCCTCCTTCCAGACCTGCAGTGGTTCAGTGTCTGCATTGCTCTTCTGGGGGGTGGTAACCCTAACTCTGTGCCTTGACTGGGGGAGAACAGAAGATTTGGCTCAGTAGGACAGTGTGGTGGGGAGCCCCACAGAGCAAGAGGGCAGGTGTCAGTGGCATGATCTGCACAACAGGGAACTATCCCAAGGGGAATCTGACTCAGCCGGGCAGTGTGGTGGAGAGCCCGAGAGAGCAAGAAGGCAGATGTCAGTGGAATAATCAACACACCAGGAACCAAACCCAAGGGATCTTCTATGATTGCACCCAGGCATAAGGCCTTCCTTCTCAACATCCTCTCGGCTACAAGAGAATTTCCTATTAGCTATATAATGCTGTTTGCACATGAAAATTGCAAATTGCTCTTAGCTACACCCATGAATATCTGGGGTAGCTCCACTTATGCCAATAGAGTTATAGCAAAATAACGTCAGAGTAACTGAGGGCACAACCGTGGTCCAAAAAGTCAACCGTGGTCCAAAAAGTAGACATTAACCTGAAGCAAAACTACTGATCTGATCAATCACAAACCACAGTAAAGATGGGACTTTGTGTCAAAGTTTTTGATTGGATCCCATCTCTTAAATTATCAAATATAGTCTAAAATAAACAATGAAGCGGATATATTTTGTGAGAGTTGGGAACATATAAGAAAAAAATTTCCACGGACCTGATAGGTCCATTTCTATCTTCTACTTTCCGGAGGCTGAGTACTGGCACAGGACCATGTACTGTTACAAACTCTACTTCTGGGAATGGAGGATCTAAAAAGCAAAATAGTATTAGCACTTTAGAGAGATTTCGGAAATAATCCAAGTTTGACAGTAGCAAGCTTTTTCTCACACTGCACAGGAACTGAAACCTAAAAGCTACAGCTGTACTTTAGCTTCAAACCTGAATACGTGTACCTTAAAATGTAGGGACAACATTTTTGGTTAACACACACTGGAGATTTATTTTGATGGAATGGTATATCAGAAGGCTCAGCCTGAGCAAATAAATGTGAGAAATCTGAACCTTAGTTCTTGTAATGTAAATTTTGATTATCTGAGTCAAGTATTTATAAACTGACAAAGACTTTCAGCACTTCCCTGAACTTTCAAGAGCCCCTTTAACTTCTGGAGAACTCTTTAAGTAGGAAAATAAATTCTGTTAACATAGCTTTCTTTGGTTTCTATTTTGTAACCTCGCTTCCTTTGACATTCAACACAGTCAAGAGATGCTTTAATTCAATTTTCTGCCCCAAAGAAAATATCAGGTTTTTTTCCCCCCAATCTTACCCAAAGTGTACAAGATCTCAATGTCTAACCAATCTGAGGTTTGCATTAAATTGCAGACAGGCAGTGTAACAGTACCTATTATACCTTGCACATGGCTTGAAGAGTTGCAAATTTGCAAGCCACAAGTGCCTTTAAAGTTTGCAGTCTGTCACATTGGGTAAGAGGTCAGAAATACAAGCTGTTAAAGCTTTAAGAACATCTAAATTCTCCCCAGACTGAGCTGGTAAGATGCAAAGCAGCAACAGACCAAAATTTAAGAACTGGTTTCATTCTCACCCAGGGAAACAGGAGGGAAAACAAAAAACTTTCCTATGCAGTATTTGGCAACCAGAACATTTTAAAAAGGTGATTGCCAGAACATTAAAAATAAATCAACTACCAGGCCTGCAGAATATCAACATTTAACAATCCCCATGGGAAAAACAAAGTCCTCAGACCACCTCCATGAGCTCAGAAAAAATACCAGCACCTAATGTAGGGCAGCCATTGTGGGGGAAAATGCTTGATCAAGAGTGAAAAGCTGCAGCCCCAAATTCAGCTGCTTGCATTTAACATCTACCCCTCTTGGTCTTCTGGTAAATTACTGTCAAAACATTCTACCTGGATTATAGGGCACCAGCTAGAAGCAGCATCCTTCGAACTTCACAATGACACACGCCTAAAAATACCAGCTTCTACCCAATCTTCCATTAAACCCTGATCCATTAAACCCTGCTCCAAATACCTTTCTCAGAACCATTGCTGGGTAGGCCAAGAATCTGGCTTTTCACAATAAAGCTCATTTTTGCAGCAAGAATATTTGAGCTGGGTGACAATGTTAGCTAGAAGCCACAACACAGCAGAAAGCACATACGCTAGCACTGCAAGTACATAGCATGTTCTGCATTTGTGTGGTGGCAAATCCTTGATTCTTAATTTGTGCATCAGGGGCACACCCCTTCCATGTGATGTCCCATTATGGTCGATGGCCATACACGGTCTTCAGCAGAGCAAGAAACCAAGATGCTCAATGTTGTGATCATCTAATGAGGCCCTTGTTTATGTCTGAGGCCACCCATTGCATCTGCCAGATGTTTTCTGAGTTGAAGCCAGATGACAGAAGAGCTTCTCCAACCACCTAAAATGGCCAGCAGTGTCCAGTGTTGAACCGGACAGTCCAGTATTTTCACCTTCTGTCTGTTAAAAAAAAATTCAGAAAATACCAGACAGCTAAAATGTCCGGTACTTTCTGATTTTTTTTCCCGGCCAGGAGGAAAAAATCCCGGGCTGTCCGGCTCAATATGGAGGCAGTCTGGAAACCTAGTGCTTACCGGGGAGCTGTCCAGCTCGGCACAAGGAGGCAAGATGACAGGCAGCTGCTGGCAGTCTGTTAGGGCCAAAAAGCCTTACCACACATTTCTTAAAGGGGCCATGCTGGGTTTTGTTTTGTTTTTTGCTTAACAACTCTTGGGGTCCTTTTTCTTTTTTTGGTTCAGTATTTTTTCTGAAACCATCTGGCAACGCTAGTAGCAGCATAGACTTTAAGGTTTGTTGTTATCAAGCAGATGTTTCATAAGAATGGTCTGATTTAAAACCAGTAAGATTTCTAATTTACTTGTTCTTGTTTTAAATCTCAGAGACCCCTGAATTTTTACAGAAGCAGTTTACAAATGCAGCCTTATGACTACATAGGCTAATCACAGGGATTAGTGAAGAACATTGTCACTGTCTTTATACCATCAATGTTTGATAGTAGTATTTGTGGAGCGCAGAATTTTAGCTGACTATAGCACTGTAATTTACTTTATTATACATACTTCAGTCATAATGTCTCTATTTAAAAGGCTATATTTGTGCCTCTCTTCCATGTGGCCTCTATTTAACTGTCCATAAGCATATATTCATTTGCAACATTTGGCTTAGTTACTACTCTTTTAGAAACCTTTCATTTGGTGCAACAGAACAAGCTTGTTTGGGTTTCTCTGCTTTTTTAGATGGCATTCTCTGTTGCTGATAATGCTTTAAAAATAGTTATGGAACAGACTCACATGGTCTGCATGCAAATGGTGTCTCTCTCTGGGAAGTCAAAACAAGAGTTCCAGTTCAGGCCCAGCGATTAACTGAAAAAACTGTTGAAATAATGCCATTTTCATAACTGACATTTCTTGCAAGCACATTGTTTTAAGGATGTTATGGCAGTTTGAGCATTTTTATTGAAATAAAAGTAATTTACTGCAGTTTCACGTTTAAAATAAAGAAATGGAATAAGTACAAATGATGTAAGTAAGGGTTATGTAGCAGAACTGATTAAATAGTACTGGTTAGGAAGTGCGACCAGCATAAAATATACATTGTTACATATGTTATGCTTAAGAGAAAAAGAACTTTTAATCTGAGGAAAATCAAAGAACTTTCTGAGGAAATGACCAAAAAAAACAGCCCACTAGAACAGAGAAAAGAACACCAACTTAAAAAGATCTCGTAAGACAAATATGTTCATTTTTAAATAATAATATAATAGGAGAGGACCCTTATCTGTGTTTTTAACACCATTTTACAAACATTAACACTTTTTTGGAGGAATAGGGGAGACTATCAAACTATGTTCTGTTTGTTTTCTTTTTGCAATTCACTAAGTTTCAACAGTGAAAGTTAAACAGGGTAGTTTCATAGAATCATAGAATCATAGGACTGGAAGGGACCTCGAGAGGTCATCGAGTCCAGCCCCCCGCCCTCAAGGCAGGATCAAGGTCCGTCTACACCATCCCTGACAGATGTCTATCTAACCTGTTCTTAAATATCTCCAGAGAGGGAGATTCCACCACCTCCCTTGGCAATTTATTCCAATATTTGACCACCCTGACAGTTAGGAATTTTTTTCTAATGTCCAATCTAAACCTCCCCTGCTGCACTTTAAGCCCATTACTCCTTGTCCTGTCCTCAGAAACCAAGAGGAACAAATTTTCTCCTTCCTCCTTGTGACACCCTTTTAGATATTTGAAAGCCGCTATCATGTCCCCCCTTAATCTTCTTTTTTCCAAACTAAACAAGCCCAGTTCATGAAGCCTGGCTTCATAGGTCATGTTCTCTAAACCTTTAATCATTCTTGTCGCTCTTCTCTGTACCCTTTCCAATTTCTCCACATCTTTCTTGAAATGTGGCGCCCAGAACTGGACACAGTACTCCAGCTGAGGCCTAACTAGTGCAGAGTAGAGCGGCAGAATGACTTCACGAGTTTTGCTTACAACACACCTGTTGATACAACCTAGAATCATATTTGCTTTTTTTGCAACAGCATCACACTGTTGACACACTGTTTCACTTTATTGTTATTAGTTATTTGTATTGTATTATGGACAAGAGGCTGGATCTCCATTGTTCCGTTTGTACAATACCTCTCTTACAGGCTCAAAGAGTTTACAGTCCATACAAGAGACAATAGATGCAGAGAGCGACAGACGGAAGAATGAAGGAACCCAAATGACATTCCTGTCAGCATGAAAAGCAGTTAGCTACCAAAGCATTTATTTGTAGGCATCACAAGAGAAGAGTTTAAATAGGCATTTGAAGGAGAACAACAACATAGCTTTGCAAATGTTTATGAAGATCTTCTCCCACACGTGTGGGGAAAAAACACAGTGATTTGTTGGAAACAATTCTAAAATTGGCAATCAAGACTACAGAATCATTTGCAGAACAAACACATTGGTCCCATGTGTGAAATGCTGGGTTGGGCAGGGTTAGGCTGTGGAGGTCTTAAAAGCAGACAAGTAGTTTGCCTCTGATCCAGGTGAGAAGGTGAAGCCGATGGAGAGTTGCAAAGAGGAAGGAAATGGGATCAAAGTCACGAAAATGCTGCTGGCAGTAGAATTTGGGGCAAGATTCAATTTGTCAAGACCAGAAAGGAAACCACTGGAATAGTTGAGACGTGAAATTTGAGGGCCAGTCCGAGAGTTTTAGCTGTGCGGACAGAACAGAACGGTCATATCGTAAGAGCTGCTATGTAGGAAGAAATAAAACAATTTAAAGGTGGCCTGGCAGTGAAGATCCAGAGAGAGCCATGTCAAAGAAAATGCCCAGGGTATGGGCATGAGCAAAAGGGAGGAGGATGGTGATCGTGTCTTCGGTAGGGGGAAATGTTGAGGAGTTCATTTTGGGCCAGGTTGTGGTTAAGATGAAGATTGGACATCCACGGGGAGATATCAGAAAAATAAATTGAGATTTTGGTTTGGCCAGGAGGAAACAGGTCAGGTCTGCAGAAGTGAATCTGCAAATTATCAGCATGACTGTGACAGCTGGCATTGTATTAATGCATGTGACTGCCCAGCAATAAGATGCAGAAGGAGAAATGGAAAGTGCCAAAACAGAAACCTGTAGAAACCCCACAACACAGTAGAAGGAGATTAAGTTTATATGTGAAGGGAGGATTTCGAATACAACCTCTCTCAGACAACTGTATTGGGCTAGTTTTGGCACCTGTGAACAGATATGCATGTGCTTCAATT